GGAGGGAAGAGTGAGAAGCAGGCACTGATTAATCAACCTATTAATAGTAACAGGGTTAAAAATAACCTGACGGAATCTTCTGGAAGATCAAAGAAGACTTTGAATAATGTATCGTAACTGCAGCCACTCCTCCCAAGTATTAATATAACTACATAATTAATAGTTAAGTAATTTTAATAATAACTAATCATTTTTCACTGTTATCATAATTATTCATCTTTGACTTTATTTTATTAATTGTCTGCATAATAATAATAATCATTCTTATTATTAAACACATAATTATTGCAATATCTTTTTAATTTTACATAATTATCTTCACTCATCTTATAATTAAATATTTGATAAGAGATGAGCCATCATTTAAATACATATTCTGATGGATTGACTAATATCAGAAATTTTAAAGCCAGTTTTTGATGAAATGCAATAGACCCTAATACATAGAGAAAGAGAGCGTTATTTTTGTATTGTGTATGTACTTGCTATCTTTTAAAAGCAAAACATTTTCTATAAAAATGTGTATTCGTGTATTTTGTTTGTTTATACATCAACATGGCTTCCTTGTGATATATGTGCCCACTCTCCTCCTTTTCCCCTTATCTCTCCTCCTCTCTCTCTACAGTCCTTACAATAGCAGTTGCTAATAAACATCCAGTTATTACACTACCAACTGATCATATTAAGATATTCTCCAGTACATGGCCTGATTCATCACCAGGTGTTACTTATCATTATCATTGGTGGAGATTGTTTGGTCCTAAGAAGGGAAACCTCAATGGAGTCAATGATAAAACCATCTCATTGAGTCACATATGTCATAGGGAGTGAGGGAGTTAAGAGATTAGAATACATGTACATGTACAATGTATGTATGTACATGTACCAATATTACAATGTACAGTATGCCCCTGTCGCCTATTGTTAGCACTTTTGCATACTACATGTTGACCAGTCATGTGCTCGTGTTGATATTATTATTGTTAAATTTACAAAACAAGGATATTGTGTATAAGCAGTGATTGTTTAACTTGGATAAAATAGGAATGACTTGGACAATCTCTTCGAATGAATACATGATCACCTTACTAATTCCCCTGCTTCTTTAGTTCCCTACTTCTTCAGAGTTCCCTTTATGCATGCTTTTGACTATGATCCTTCTGCTCAATCCTTGCAATGATTTCTCCGTTAAACGACGAATATCATTCAATAAGTGCTCAGCAGGATCCCAGTCTAGAACAAACTCAATTGTTTCACAAACAAGAAAATCGCTTGTTGAAAGCTTTTTATCGAGCAAGAATTGAAGCTTGAAAGTATGACAGAACTCATTGACAGCTGCATTATAATCAGATATCAATGGCTTCGCTTCAGTTTCTACTTTACTGTTGAAACTGACTGCTACCTCTACTGGTGCAATATTGATGACATTGCATTTGGTTTTAATAACTTTCATGACATCTTTCACTGTAGCAGCAGAGGTTAGGTTAGGACCTAGCTCAGGATAGCAATCATCAAGAAATTCTATGAAATCTTCAAGTTGGTTCACTCTGATGGTGTGAGATACCAGTCAAGTGACTCTGAAATAGAAAGTTCCAAATTTTCCTCTCATTTCATCAAAACTATAATGCTCTGAAATTTGAAACACAAATTCTATAACAAAAATAAAACATTAAATATGGCCAGTATTAAATACTGAGATACTTTTGGGTCTAACATTTGATTCTTCAACAAAAATTATTATTATTATCATTAATTTTATTAATTAAAAATAAATAAATAAATAAATAAATAAATAAATAAATAAATAAATAAATAGGGGTTACCCCCTATTTATACGTAATACGGTAGATGCATGCTATGCATTAACTATGCCTCATTCCTTGTTGCTATTGAATGGTATTTCAAAAAAATACTATAACATTAGGGGGCTCTACCCTAAAGCCTTGCTTACACTTGTTATAAAACACAATGCAAATGAATTTGGCCAATTTTAGGCCAACTTGAAAGTGTTCTTGTACCAAAAGGTCATATTGCGCACATACCCTTGACAATTTCATGAATGTCACCTGGCTTTACCATATGCCCTGACGTGTATACAGGCATACACAAAACTACAAATGTATATGTACTTCAACAGTAATTTAATTTCACCCAATTAATTACATGAGGCATTTGATGGGTACTTACTAGTTTTATGTGGTTCTACTGTTTCCACGTTTATTATTAGTCTATCCAACTGTTCCTTTATCTCTCGATGAAAAGCCTGTTGCCCCTCTTCTCTTTTATCCAGTGTCTGTTCACTGGATATTTTCTGGTTCAGTTTCAATGTATCTCTTTTATAATCTATCAGTGACACTGTACATCACTAATAAATTATTAATAAATTGTACCTTTTATTTTATACATTAATCCTTCATTCTCTTCTCTTTTATTTAGTATATGTACACTCATTAATGATATCTGTTCTTGTAGTTCAGCTATTTCTCCCTTAATATCTATTAATGATTCATTCTGATCCAGTAAACCTTCTCTCTTAATATCTATTGATGATTCATTCTGATCCAGTAAACCTTCTCCCTTAATATCTATTAATGATTCATTCTGATCCAGTAAACCTTCTCTCTTAATATCTATTGATGATTCATTCTGATCCAGTAAACCTTCTCCCTTAATATCTATTAATGATTCATTCTGATCCAGTAAACCTTCTCCCTTAATATCTATTAATGATTCATTCTGATCCAGTAAACCTATCATAGTATAATTAAAATACACTAAAACATGCATTATAATTCAGTACCAGTTTTATTTTTTAATATTTGTTCTATTTCCATTCTCATTCCCTTTATGATTTTGTAAGATGCTGCAACAATAATAACAATAAAATATAGCTATTAAAATAATAATTTTCTGACCTGAAGTAGAATCTGTATGACATTTAATGTGATATTCTTTTTTCATTCCTAAAATAATTAATGCAATCAACATTATACATCATATAAAGGTGAAAAGTGAATCACTCATTATGAGTTACTTCAATAGCTTTTACTGACATATTGTACATGTAATACTCCACCAATGTTAGGTACTATTATATGTCATATTGTGTATAATTACCTTGTAGTTTTTCTTCCAAATCACTGGTTGCTTCTTTTACTTCCTTTATTTCCACTAGTGTACATTCCTCTTCATTTTGATCCTCCTATCAGTAACTAAGTATTACACTATATACCAATAACTGATTCTGATTACAATTTACTATTATGCTACACACAATTGTTGATTATAATTACCTTAGTTTCATTCTGTGATGACATTTCTTGTATTTTTTCCTTAATTTTATTCAATTCCTACATGCACTCATTTTTATAATAAAACATGCAATGATTAATAATCTATCAATAAGCTACACTAATATAACAACACACTCCAACAATAGGCTCTTATACATTGAAGTATTAATTCCTCCTATACATGTAATACAACCAACAAACAAGTACCTTTTCTTTTTCACTAAGTATGTTTGTTAGTTGCTGTGCAGTTTTTTTAAGTTCTTTTTGTCTCTATTGATTATAATAATAAAAATAATCAAACACAAATTATTATACCTTTGTATCATGAGGTTGTTCCTTTATCTCACATGGTATCTAATGATAATTACTGACAGTATATATAACACATACTTGTACCTTTTGTTTCTTCCATATTGTGCAGTATCCAACAGTAAGCTTCATTAGACCATTCTTTATTAATAATTCAAGATTCTCACTCAATTTTATAATGAGAGCTCCAGTGAGTGAGTGAGGGAAGGAGCAAGTGACAATAATGGAGTTTCCTTTCTTGATGTATTTTATTTTCACTAGTTTACCAGACGTCTTGGAAATGATTTGCTCAATATCTTGTAGCATGTGCTCATCTGGTTCCCAGTCAAAGACATATGTAACTGTTTCACATTGAAGAGAAGGACTACCTCCTAATGCTTCAAACTTCTCATTTAAGCAAAGACTAATTTTTACTGTACGACAAAACTCTTTTAAAATGCTGTTGTATTCTGTGATGTATTTTTCAGCTTTTTTGATTCCAAATTCTTCAACCAATGATTGAAGCAGCCTGACGTTAATCAACGAACACTCCTTCTCTACTACTCTTAATATTTCAGTGATATTGGAACACAAAGACAGCTTTGATTCCAGACCTTTCTTACAGCAACGCAAAAATTCCTTTACATCATCTAATGGTGGTGGCTTGTTCTTTATTATTTTATGAACATTGTACAACATTCGACCATAAGACGTTTGTATTGAAGTGAATTCATGACTCATGCATTTAGGAATGGCTATCTCAACTATCAGAATTAAAAATAAATTACACTTTTGTTATTAATATTATACCTACCAGTTGGTGTATTAGGTGGAGTAAGTGATGGTGCAGTTGTTCCAGTGCTTAATGTATCAGTGCTCATATCATTATCAGGAATAAAAACTTTAATAAGCTTCTTATCATCATTGAAGGATTGGTCTATAAAACAAATTATGAGCATTATTGCTCAAAATGTAACAGGCTTACCATAGTCTTTTTGTATAACTGTTCCTAGTTTTACATTACCAGTGAACTTGCACAACACACTAGCAAATGTTTGTAGTAAACTATACTTGCTTTGAATAGCTACTATAATGGCAGCTGACAGGACTTCACGTTGATTAGGAACAGAGGGACTAGCTGATTCCACACTAGCCAATACTTGTCCTGTTATGACACCCTCTCTTTGAAGCATAATAGCTACACTGACAGGATCAGAGAGAGACTGAGAGAGGAGTGGATGATGAGTGTTGAATATATCAATAGCCAGTACCGAACATGCACTGTTTTCTACATGATAGAATGCACACAGTCAATGCTAATACAATCAGTGATATTAACTTACTTTCTTGATCTAAATTTTCAGCTGCAGCATTCTCATTCATAGATTTAAGAGCATCTGACAGTGAGTCAAAGGTAGCTCCTCCTTTACTGTCGACATTATCAGCTCTACGCAACCATCTGGCAATGCATTCAATAAAACGATCTTCTACTTTTGAGTAGTTTTCTGCAATAGCGTCCAGTGAGTCCATGAGTAGTCCTAGTGTCAGTCCTAGTTCCTTCCATCTCCTCTGAGG